AGTCTACATAATGATCCCCCCCCCTAACTGGAATAGACCCCTATCCTGCTATAGCACTGGAGATTTTTCTCGCCCAAGTGAACAACAAGAGGGGTAGAGCTTGAGCATCTCTCAAAGCATAAAACCATTGCTTACGGTTCGTACAAATACACACTCAAACACTTCTGCAATCCTTGGCAGTGATCGAATACACGGCCCATTTTACTGATCGTCTAGAGCCGAAATCTTTCCTACATCATTTGTACCGATGGATCGAAATGATTGCAGTTATTCTTCCCGTTAACCGAAGTGATCTGGGCGTACGTAGATGAGACGTTCGAGGAGCCTCAAATCAGCTGTTTGAACACGCCGGTGAGCCGTACGAAGCAGATCAACACGTTGTTCATCTTCGCCATTGCTTTCCACATCGTCGCCATCCTGGCCATAGTGATCGCCTTCTTGTTTCATCGACAACGAACAAGGTGATTTTGCTGAGAAATTTGCTTCGTTATAATCGAATTGTCCAAATTCAGGATGTCACACACCCTCACAAGCAGATTTCAATTCTCAGAGAACATGACATCGTCCCGATTGTTGATAGTGCTTTCCACTATACAACTGACGATATTCTTGACGTATGCCATAGCGATGATGTATTTGAGGATGTCATTTGATCCGGTCAAAGGATCTGTAGCGATGCAAAAGTCAAACATAATGAGCGCTTACGTAAGTCTCTATTACTGATTATTCTTCTGATTTCTTAATACTGTAGTTCGAATATGGCGCAATTCACCTTTACACTAATTTTCCATCCGCGGAAGTGCGACATTGCGCATTGCGAAGCGCTGCTGCACATCTCTGGACGAACAGGCCACTTCCTCTCGCGCTCTGTGAGCTTGGAAGAGCTCCTTCCAACGATGATGTATCCATTTGTTCTCCACCTCCCAGCCCAGCTTGTGTTCGCTGCCTTCGAAGGAGGATACCGTGATAAGGTTGGTGGTCGGAGAAAGGGAAGTATTCCTAGCCGAAAGGGATGTGGGTCCCCTAAGCGTGCGCGTTTACTCGCTGAAGTATGTTCCCAGTGGCCTAGCGGGCTGCCTTCGATACTAATGGTGAGGAACGATGCGCTACCCCTAGAAAAGCACACATGAAGAAATACTAAACAAAAAACTTACCTTGTAACGTCGCTAGAACAGAAACGAACACTGTCGAAGGAGGCGGGACTTATCGATTATGTTAGCGCCACCCATTTCCCAGTCGTGGAGAGCGCGTGATTGGCTGCAAAGGCATTTGTGGTCGTTTTGAGACCACAAGAACTATTTGAACTCGGTCATTTACCTCCGCACCTACAACCTCATAGCCAACCACCTTACCCCTCGAATTCGATCTGGGACTGTTGCTTTAAGCAAAGAGAGTATTAGCTGAAAAGGGCAGCACTCATGAGGTCGCGTCAATGCGGAAATGAACGGGCAAAGAAGAGAAATTAGAATAGTCGTTCTTGCTGTGCCGTTTTGACGCTTTTTCTTCATCCCTGTACCGCTGACCACCTGTAGCTTCATTTCTGATGGGCTGCCTATTCATCGTCATATCCGCCTTGAATTTGGAATGGTCGTTCAAGATCTCAATATGTCATCAATTTAGCTACTGTTCACTCCCAATTCTTTCATCTTTGATATTTTCAATAGCGAAGTTATCGATGACTTTCAGTTGGTTCCTTTCTATACACTTTTGTTACCGGCGATAACTATGTTTTTCCTTGTGCGAATGAAAAGGACACGAAGATCTGATATTCAGTCAATGGTTCAGGTGGGATTTCCCCTGCTTTCGTAGTTTTTACCTTTTTTTTACTAAAATAAATCTCTTCATCTTATTCTCTCAGGTGAAAGCGTCTGGCTATGAAGGATGGGCGAATTACTCCACACAGTTGCAACAACAATGGAATTGATAATGATCCAAATGGTTTTTTTTTCTCCAGTGAACAAATTTTTCAGGGACATATGCATACGATTTTCAGAACATTACGCAACTGTAAATAAATAAGAAATAAAGAATAACAATCGTGGACTTGTGTGTGCTCGAATTGGCCACCTGTTCAGTTAAATTGCATGACTGGGTTCGAAAAATGACCTCAGAGGACGAGTTATCGCGTTTTCAACACCAACTGGTCAAAAAAATCATGTGCACTGCCCATGGTACGGTTTCCTTGCGATACGCCATCCCACTGCCAAATGAGATCATCGTACAGCGGCTTCCGACCAGGGTCAAGCTTACTCTGGTGCCGGGCAGATATCAAGATTGGCGCGACCCTCTTTGCCACCCATAGCGAAGCAATCAAGGTTTTTTCCCATACTAGATGTTGAACTTGGTACCACTTGACACATCCCTGCCAAGAAAGTCTTTCCATTCTGTCGAGTGTCAGTGGGAAATCAGTCGATGAACTGGACTAGTCTGTAGATAACATGTTGATTTCATCCATCATGTAAGGGAGCTTCGACATGATAAGTTATCGAGTTGTAAGAAAAAATAGTGGGTAGCTTCATTTTTCAAATAGGCTTCCTTCAATTCGACGACGGTTCTAAAGCTCTGCTCTATGTACAGAATGTTTAGAAGGTAAGGGAGGGTTCAAATTTAATCAACTCCAAAAAAGCAGTGAGCTGAACCCATTGATGATAGGAAGCGCGTAAATCTCTGTGTTAGGCGGTTAGGCGGTCCATTGGTGCTCATGTCGCTGGGAGGGGGGGTGGGTGTCATTGAAGTTAGTGAGCCAATTGCGGTGCCCGGCGCTGAGCCTTAAGCACAGGAAGGGATTCTGGAGGAGTACATGAGTAATATGTGTTCTTCTTAGCGTTTCTCCACTCCCATGGGCTTAGTACTAGCGTCACCTACCACCGGCCGTGCTGTGATGCCCCCCCCCTTCCAAGGACATGGGTGCCGGTCCATCTTTTGAGCGGGCCTTGAATTCTACCTCACTTTCGTTTCGCGAGTGTTATTTGGAAATAATCAACCTGCTCAATAAATCGCGCAGACCGGCTTTTGATGATACTTGCACCGGATTTCTCTGAGATCATAAGCACGGCAGCGCGATTCATCCACATCTTGGCAGTGCTGGTCCCCAGATGGATTTGGGGCGCATTGATAGAGTACGAAGTTATAGTAGAAGGGATGGTCGCGACGGTGATGTTCATCTTTACAACCCGCTGAATTATTTTGTGCTGAACGCCAACCGGAACTACGAAGATGTGTCTGAATGGGGCGGTACATGACGCT